TGCTCTTTCACATATCCATTAACAATGCTTTCTCATCCTTTGATAGCCTCCCCACATATGAGTGTCCCTTAAGGTGCTCCGCAGGTGGATGATTATGCAATCCGCATACTACGGTCAATGTCCATTCATCATGTGTGGTAAACCTGTGAGCCCTCATATCAAAAGAACAACCACACTTCTTTGTACCGGTTATTCTTGATGTATTGTTGCCATCATGTTTTAACTTCTTTGTCACTCTATATTGGCCACGCCTCTCACAAGCAAGATACATCTTGGGTCTTTTTTTTCCCTCCACCATAGTCTAATGTTTTGATTACAATGACCAAACCATTTCTCTTTCCAACTTCACGTACTCAGTTGAGCAATTCATCCTTACTTTTGAATACCTACAAAGTCAAATAAATATTATCAAACATTTACATTTGTTGAGCAATTCGAAACATAATCATTATAATTTCATAGGGTGAACCTGTTCAATTGTGAATTGAGTAGTGTAATCCAACACAAAATCCGCGCAAACCTGACTTCCTTGAGTTGACACATATTCCTACATGTTTTGTATAACATTACAAATTTTTAATGGCATTATAAAGATTAATTTGCAATTCGAAACTATAAATTTGGTATACAGTTTGCAAATTTGGAATATAAAATGGGAAAATTTTTTTTTACTTCATTCGAAAGTAGTTTTCTGAATTTATTTTAAAATTTTAGGAGTTGAATGTTGTAACAGTTAACTTATTTCGGACATCAACTTCTGAAATTAAATACTTTGTTCAGACAACAACTTCCGAAATTAATTACTTTGTTCGGACAACAACTTCCGAAAATAAATACTTATTTCGGTAGTAAATTTCCGAACAAATAATATAATTCGACTCTGGTTATCCGAACGACGCTGGAAAAAAAATGAAGAGAAACTCACATTTCCTTCGCTATGTTTCTCATAAACATTTATTTGCTGATTTGCTGATTTTCAGAAGACAAATCCTCCATAACAATGATGAATGAGGAAGAAGCTACGAATGAGGAAGGTTGAGAAGCTACGAACTTGGACTTTAATGGAAGAAGCTGAACTTGGAGCTTAATGAATGAGTGCTTTCACTTCTAGCTCAATGGAAGAAGCTGAACTTGGAGCTTAATGAATGAGTGCATTCACTTCTAGCTCAATGGTAGAAGCTGAACTTGGAGCTTCAACGTGAAGTCTGGATGGATGTGTGCATTGAGACTTTTGAATTGGGTAAATGTCTAAAATAGTAATTACACTTAGAGATAAAATTGTAATAAAAATAAATATCATTAAGTGTGTGTATAGAGGGGATTTGGTGTGTGTAGATAGAAGCTCCCTGTAGTTGGACTTGAACTACAAAAATTTGTTTTGTGTCCTTTAAAGCTAAAAATCAAAAATCTCAAGAAAGAATTATATTCTAAAATGTATATGCTAGTGTAAAAAACGTAATGAAATTATTTTTTAATGAATAATGGATAACTCATAAAAAGAGAATAAAATTTAAGTTAATTAAAATTTTAAAATATTACAATATAATTATATTAAATTTATAAAGTTTATCTAATCGTAAAAAGAATTTAGTATAATTTATCTTAATAGTACGATTTTGGAAAAATTAGTCTAAGTTCTCTCTCCCAATTTTAGTAATGGAATAGATCCACAATATTATTTTATAATGTCTAAGGTCCCTCAACCCCACACCTATGTATTACAAAGAAATTTGATATAAGCTTCAAACCTTCATCCCTCTCTCTCTCAGACTCACGCCTCACCTCTTCCATCACTCACCCCATAGAAGATCAAACTCTTACTCTCCGCCTACACCTTCGCCGTTAACACATTTCGCCGCCCCAACGGCACCGTCAACCGCCGTCTCACCACTTTCCTCGACCTCAAATCTCCTCCCTCCGCCACCAAACCCATCCACAGCGTCACCACCTGCGACACCACAATCGACTCTTCTTTCAATCTCTGGTTTCCGCCTCTACACCCCCACCGCCCTCACATCTACCGCACCACCATCGTCTTCGTACCATTCTCGGATGACGAAGACTACGCCGACGATGCGGCGGGCTTTGGGACCAGAGTGGTAGAAGAAACAGAGGTCGCCGAGGCGCTATGCCTTTCCGATTTCAATCAATATCAGTGCAAATGAGCTTTAATTTTTCTGGGTATCGTTAGAAAATATATAAATATGTTTTGTAATTGCAATTGTAATTTGTTTCTTGGATTTGCAGGCTTGTACTTTGGTTTGGGAAGTAAGAGTGATTGGATGGGATGTGTGCTATCGAGCTGAATTTGTGCCTAGTTCCGAAGGCAGATACACGGTGATTATACAGAAGTCGAGGAAGATTGTACCAGCCAATGAAACCGTGGTCTCTGGAAGCTTTAAGATTGGGGAAAGTGGGAAAGTTGTGCTCACATTTAACAACCAAACCTCAAAGAAGAAGAAGCTACTCTACAGGTCCAAGACCAAGCCTTCTTCTGATTAAAGAGCTCAAGAATTAGCTCAAAATATACACATATCTCAGTGGCCAAACAGGTTCTTATATACACATCAAACTGGTTCTTATATATACATCAAACCTAGAGAAAATTCAAATTTCTCTGGGTTCATTTTGACCAATTTTCTCTGGATTTTTAAATTTCTCTGGATTCATTTTGATCAATTGAATGCCGGTAAAGTCAGAGAAATTTTCAAATTTCTCTGGAGTGTTGAGTCCAGGAGAGGCAGGGAAGGCAAAATTTCTCTGGAGATGTAATTTTGTGGAAAGGCAGAGAAATTTCTCTGGGAGAGTGGGAAGTATATGGAAGGCAGAGAAATTTGAAGAAGATGAGGGCAGAGAAATTTACAGTAGGAAATTTCTCTGTAATGTGAATTTTCTCTGGACTAATTTTCTCTAGACCAATTTTCTCTGGACCAATTTTCTTTGGATCAACTTGAGGGACCTTAGACATTATGAAAATATTGAGTGTCCTTTATGCTGTAAAATCTTAATACCAGGGACTTTAAAAAAAATTCCCCTACGATTTTGTACCATGTTGTTGTTACTTTGGGCATGTTTGATTGGATGGATTAGAGCATGGGATTGGGATTATTAATCCGTGGGCCCAATTATCCTATGTTTGTTTTAACATTTTAGTTTAAGATTATTAATCCAATGGATAATTAATCCAACAAATTTGTAAGATTATTAGTAATGGAGTAGGGGTGAGATTATTAATCCAATGAATAATTTATCATATTAATCTAATTAAATAATAAATGCCATACTAATTTAATAAGATTATTAACATCTCACTATTAAACTTGTGAATCAAACATGAACTTTGTGTCTTGTGACAGGTACTCCTCGTCAACACCTATCTGTCAAGGCACATTATTTGAAAGAGATTATTATTGTTATTGTTGTTGTTATTATGATTTCACTTATCATAGTTGAAATTTTCCAATACCATCAACAGGTGATAGAACAAATTCTAAAATTAAATAAATAAAATAAAATAAAATAAAAAATTTACAATTAAGAGACCTTTTGATCCTAAAATTTTATTATAAAGGTGTCACTGAAATTTTGCTTCAGTCCTGTAAATGCCCAAATTTTTTATTCTGAATTTTACCTTCTTCTTTTTTTTTCTTGAACGGAAAAAAAAGATACTTTGAGGTATCATCACGGCATTCGTGAGCCTAAGCCCCAGGATAATCGATTGCTAGCCTGATTTGACCCAATCCATAAAAAAGACCTACCACCGAGGCACCAATGAAGCTCATCAACCATACCCAACGGGACTAAAGTTCGATCGGAATATAGCACAAGATCTTCAAGGAGAACCATTGAAAAATACTCAGCATTTTGTACTCTCCAGGAGTCTAACTTGACTCAGGCCAAGTTTGGCTACTTAAAATAAGTACGTACTTTTTATCTTTTTTCAATCACATCATCTCTCTACTTTTTTGCATATCTTTTCGTAAAAAGACAAAAAATACACTTATTTAGGTCATCCCAAACAACCCCTCACTACTAGGAAGGCAATACTTTGACTGTTGGGCCACCGCCCCAGTAGTTCTGAATTCTACTTCAAAAAATCAACATGTTGTCTAAATTCATTATGTGGATGGATACTACAAAACAATCATTGAAACTCAACCATACTTGTCAATTGTAGATAACCTTTCTGAGATAATAGCTTTATTGATTTGGAAAATACTCACAGATTTCAAATTTTTTACCAAATATCTTATATGGGATATGGATCCCACAATCCACACAAACGTGAGACATTTAGGCCAAGTTTGGCATACTTTAAATAATCCATCTTTTTATCTTTTTTTCATCACATCACTTCTTTATTTTTTTGCATATCTTTTCGTAAAAAGACAAAAAATACACTTATTTAGATCATCCCAAACAATCCCTTAGGAAAACATTTGATGAAATTTTGATATCCGTAACATTACTTTATTGATTTTGCTCATCTTTGTTTATCGCCCCATCTCACTCCACTTTATAATAAATTACAAGTCTAATTTTGTTCACACACCTCTATTAGCCATCATCCTGATTAATTCTTGTAGTGTTGATAGCCAATGTTTTGGACCCCAACTTAATGCAAATAAAATTATTTTTGTCAAATTATTAGACACTTAAAATGAAACATAATTTTTCTCAAAAAAAATAAATAAAATAAACATAATTACTTCCTCAAAAAGATTTCAGAAAAGAATACATGAATTATATAGTTAAAAACCACTTATACTTTGTTTTAGTTCACATTATTTTGCCATTCGAATATTAACATCCAAACAAGAATAAATTGTTAAAATTACTGAGGATTTTCGTTCGGAAATTGGTATCCTAACATTTCGTGCGAATAAAAACTACCAGTAAGTTGGAATATTATTTATCTCATGAATTCTCAAAATGTACATCTACATAACTAATTTGAAGAAACATAGATGTATAACATACCACGTGAACTATGCATATTTCCAAAACACAGCAAATACAGTAACAGCAACAAGAAGGGCACGTGAACTATATAAACAACTTTTTGAATTGTAGCCAAAGCAATAATAACTTAACAACATAAACATAGAAACACAGAAAAGAGAGTATTATTGGTACTTCACAACTGAAGCTTGAGAAAGAAACAAAGACACAGAGAGAAAGAGAGAGAGCTTCTTCAATGGAGACACAAGGTTGTGAGATTGAAGCAATAGGTATCAACTACACAATCTACACACAAAAAACACAACACCCTTTTAAGTTCTTTCACAATCAACAAGCAGAAAAAGATGTAGAATTGCAGTCACAACAATCCAAAGTTCAAGACATGAGCAGCCCCCGAGTCCGGCATGTCCTAAAAGGCGTGAACTTCCAAGCAAAACCGTGGGAAATCCTTGCCATCATGGGCCCGAGTGGTGCCGGAAAGTCATCTCTACTCGAGATCCTCTCCGGCAAACTCACACCACAAAGCGCATCCATTTTTGTCAACCAAAAGCCAATTGACAAAGCCCGGTTCAAGAAAATTTCAGGCTATGTCACCCAAAAGGACATACTTTTCCCACTCCTCACAGTTGAAGAAACCTTAATGTTCAGCGCAAAACTCCGGTTAAGGCTACCTCAGTCCCAGTTGAGCTCAAAAGTCAAGTCATTGATTCAAGAACTGGGACTAAGTCATGTAGCTGCGGCACGAGTCGGCGATGATCGGGTACGAGGGATCTCCGGTGGAGAAAGACGACGAGTTTCAATTGGTGTTGATGTTATACATGACCCTAAAGTGTTGATTCTTGACGAGCCCACTTCTGGGCTTGACAGTACATCAGCGCTACAGATCATTGACATGCTCAAGAACATGGCTGAAACTAGGGGTCGGACCATAATTCTCAGTATACACCAACCCGGGTTCAGAATTGTGAAGTTGTTCAACTCCATTCTTTTGTTGGCTAATGGCTCTGTTTTGCACCATGGAACGGTTGATCAGCTCAGCGTGCAGCTGAGGCTGATGGGTTTGCAAATTCCTCTTCATCACAATGTCGTTGAGTTTGCAATTGAATCCATTGAAGCAATCCAACAACAACAGCAATCACTGCACCAAGAAATACAACAACCACAGTTGCCATCAACACTACCACAACAACACAAGGAAGATGATGATGAAGGTGAGTGTAGAAGCAGTAAGTGTACTCTACAACAACTCTTTCAACAATCTAAAGTGATCAATGAAGAAACCATTGATGTTGGAATCGATTTTCCTTGTGGTTTTGCAAATTCTAGATTGGGAGAAACCTTAATTCTCACTCATAGATTCTCGAAAAACATATTTCGAACCAAAGAGCTCTTTGCATGCCGAACATTTCAAATGTTGGTAGCTGGGTTCATCTTGGGTTCGATCTTCTACGATCTAAAAGATGATCTAGCCGGAGCCGAGGAAAAGGTAGGCCTGTTTGCATTCATATTGACATTTTTGTTAACAAGTACAATAGAAGCTCTACCAATTTTCTTGCAAGAGAGGAAGATACTAATGAAGGAGACATCTTGTGGAAGCTATAGAATCTCATCATATGCCATAGCCAACGGTCTTGTTTACTTGCCATTTCTACTCATATTGGCCATCTTGTTTACAGCACCACTATATTGGCTAGTTGGACTAAATCAGAGTTTCATGGCATTCTTGTACTTCTTGTTGTTGATTTGGCTAATTCTCTATACGGCGAATTCAGTTGTGGTGTGTTTTAGTGCTCTGGTGCCTAATTTCATCATCGGAAACTCGGTGATCTCTGGTGTGATGGGTTCGTTCTTTTTGTTCTCCGGCTACTTCATATCGAAGCATGGGATGCCAAGTTATTGGATTTTCATGCATTATATATCACTGTTTAAGTACCCATTTGAAGGGTTCTTGATAAATGAGTTTTCTGGTTCAGGGAAGTGCTTGGAGTACATGTTTGGGAAATGTGTGGTGAGTGGTGAACAAGTGCTTAGAGAGGAAGGGTATGGAGAGGAAAGCAGATGGTGGAATGTTGTTATCATGGTGTGCTTCATTGCAGTGTACAGGTTTATTTCTTATGTCATTCTTAGGTGTAGATGCTCGCAGAGGGGCCTTAAGGGTGCTTTTCTTTGACTAAACATGTAGTAATCTCTAAGGGTTATGTATTTTTTGCTGTACTTTTTTTTTTTTCTTCTCTTTCCCCAATGCCAATAATAATTTGGCAAGTAGAGAACTTGGTAAATCATAATATGAAATCATCTTTGTCTATAGTCTACAATACCCTTTTGTTTTTGCTACAATTACCCTGCTTGAGGTATTACTACATTTGAAGTATTTCCCTGGACCACTCAAGCCTCAAGCATCATTCTTCACAGGTTGAAGCATTGTTATATTTGAAAGGAAACACTTTTTCTTTCCTTTTTTTTGGAATTAAGTTTAGGGAGTTAAAATTTAAAATCTATACTGGCCCCGTTCACATCCCTTCTTCTCACACGCGCTAGTCCTCCTACTACCTATGTGAGGAGGCTGTGAAAGAGGGCAATTAATGGCAGTGGAATTATAAATTTCCTAAGCTTATTGTTGATTCCTTGCTGACTCTTAGCAAGCATAATGTTACATATATAATATAACACACAATTTTATTTAAAATTTCTTTCAAATAATGGGTTAGAGAGACTCGTATCAAAAGATATAGAGACCCAAACATTTTGTGTTCAATTTTCCTAGACAAGTACAAAATATCTATTGCTTACATGTGATACAAATTACAACCATAATACATATGGTAATGCTATAAAAATCACAAATAGATAAATAAATAAATGATTTCTTACCATACTGCCGTAACCATTTGGTGCTTAGGATGAGAAATTAGAAAGGAATGGAAGATACATGGAAAAACTAGGTAGCGTTTGGTAAAGTTTTATAATTATGATTTGATAATAGAGTTGTATTTTGAGTTTGTGAGTTTTACAATTATGATTTAAAAAGAAAAAATTTGTTTGGTTATAAGTTTTGAAAAGAATTTTAAATTGAGTTTTGAATTTTTGATGCGACATATGAAATAGGAAAATTTTTTTGGTTATGAGTTTTGAAAAGAGTTTTCAAAACTTAATTAAAAAATTTATAACTTATAACCAAACACACAACTCAAAACTCTATTGAAAATTCTATTCAAAACTCATAGCCAAACTCTTTTTAACATTCAAGTCAAAAAAATAATTTTGTCACTTTGGTCTAAAAAAATAATTTCTATATTTAAAAAATATAAAAAACAAACGTAATTTTTTTTTCTCCAAATAACAGGCGGCGATTGGAGATTGACAATTGCAAAAAAAAAAATAAAAAATGCACTGTTCTAGTCAACCGGCCGGACGTCCGGGAGGATGACCGGGGAGATCCAAAATTCAAAAACTCCTCTGCTTTTTAGAATGGAGAAGACGAAAGAGAGAGAGTAGCCAAACGTGACAGAGAAATATATTTTGAAATGCGTGGTGGAATTACATTTTCAAAACTCCATCCAAACAGTCCATGCAAGCGGAGGGGTGGAATTATGGTTACAAAGTTGCACCAAATACTTATATATTGCTAAGAAAAGGAAAGTGTGTTCCCAAAGGGATAAACATAAGGAAGTTAAACATTAAAACTTTACATGTAAGAAAAATGACATATTGTGAATAGTAGAAACATCCAACAGTGCAAATTGCCCTCACCCAAAACCATAGCCTCTAAGCCAGATGTTAGTATTTTATCATACATTTTTATTAATTATATTTTATTGCTAATATTTCTTTAAAGGCACATTTGAAAGATCAACTGACCCCACGTTTGAACAAATGGCACTAAAGTTCACCATAGTGGACTTATCCAATCACTCAATTCAAGTAATATGAGCCACAAATTAGTGAACTAATCTTGATGTTCTATAATGATATGGTAAAGCCTATAAACTCTATAAGCATGAACAATACCAATTTGAATAAAGTCTGAAGGAATAGACGGAGAAGGACAAAATTAATTATTAAAATGGATCAGGAGTGATACATTACACTATTTTGTTTTTACCTGGTTTGCAAGGCTAGTTAATTTGTATCCAACTTGTGTTTTTTTGTTTTTTCAAATTGAGTATTGTGGATGATAATTTAAGATGCGAATTAAGCAACAGTCTCAAGTTAATTTTTTCCCTACTCTTGTTCACTTGAATAATATTGGCTCTGGTAGAGGTTACTAGACATTATGTAAAATCCCTTAGAGACAACTCTGAATGCTTTTCTATGAGTTCAATTAAACTAGAACAGAGATCAATGATCAGAAGTACTTCAAACAACCATTCAACCACTTCCCTAACATTAGTGAACCCAAGAAGAAGAAGAAGAAGAAGAAGAAGAAGAAGAAAAGAGGTTAAAAACAAAAAAGAGCTTACCTAAAATGATCCCAATAGAACAACCGATTGAAATTGATATGCACTTTTGCAAAGTTAAATGAATACATTCTTATAAGTTTAATATGGTCCAAACACAAAAAATGCTAGTTATCAAATTTAATTGTAGCTACTTCAAAGTTATCAGGCAGGTAATGTAAAGGCTAATGCAACACTTACCTGCATAATTATGCATGTTTCTAAGATCTTAGCGGATCAACAATACTTCCCTCAACCAAGGCCTTCTTCTTATGTAACTTGCTTTCTGGATAGCACTGCATGAAGTTTGGTGGGGATAATCTGCCTTCTTTTTGTTGATTACAAAAGAAGAAGAAAAATCCAAGATTAGATCAGAATAAAGGATTTACCACCATGATGGATTAGATGAGCAGCAAACTGAGCATGCCTATCAAATCTCCCAGCTATGTGGGTTGCATTGCATAGATCCTTTCTTTCCATTGTACTTTTGGTTGTGAAATCAGCATTTAGCATAAAATTTGCAATTGTAATGGTTGACAGGATTTTGTGCAATTGACTGGATCTGTTTCTTACCACCTGCCTTGTCTGCAAATAAATACAGCATTACAAATTAACAAAGACGGAAATCATATTCAGTTTAACATTCATGCTTCCATTCAAATGAACCAGAAGTTTTCAATTTAAGCATAATAGCTGGAAGTGCACAAAATTATCAAAGGATAAGCACAATATTTAGTACAGTATTTTTAAAATTGAATTTCAGAAACAATCACACAATATATTTTAAATAACAATAACTTGGATTTGAATACATGAGTTGGCTTTTCTTTTCATTTGCACACTATTTTGTTTTTTCATTGCAGATCACATTTTCTGTTCAACCCTACTTAAATGAATAAATAATAAAATATAAAATTATTAGGTGGCTGGTTGGGTATATATCAGTCATTTAATCTCAAGTTGGACGTTCCAAGTTCAAATACCGCTAGATGCTCTTTCAACACTTAGGCACTGATCACGTAACCAGTGAATTTGTGAAATATAAAAGAACTGATGATTAACCATGATGAGACAGAGCATCATTTACAATTAGTTTTGTAAAGAAGTACTGTTCATTTTTGTGATTTTGTTTCTAACTACAGAATATGATAAGGTTAACATACTCTGATAAGAAGAAAGAAACAAGTTTAAAGCAGTTTATAAATAATGTCAATTATGCACCAACAGCAACTTCTGGTATTTCCAAATGGTCAGAAGGGGTAAGATCTGAATTGTTCTGCTCCTCATCAGACTCCAATTCACCAGTATCGGGGACATATCCAGCTAGCTTCATCTGTTTAGTTAGTGTTTTCAAAAGTAAATAAATATCCTTCCTTTGATGATGTCTTTTATCTTTCACCATAAAAACATGCACCTGGCTCTGTATTTCAATCCAACTGCAGCCAGGCTGTTTAACAACTCCTCGTTGCCTCATAAGCTTCCGAACTCTTATAACATCCCTCCATCTCCTAAGCTCAGCATACATATTTGAGAGAAGAACATAAGGGCCAGAGTTGTCAGGATCAATATCTAGAAGATTCTCAGCCACAAATTTCCCCAATTGAATGTTACCATGAACTTTACAAGCAGAAAGCAAAGAAGCCCATACAACACTGTCAGGCTGCATTGGCATTGATTCTATTAAATTCTTAGCTTCATCAAGGCAACCAGCTCGGCCAAGTAAATCAACCATACATGTGTAATGGTCCTTTTGGGGTTCCAAACCATGGTCCTTGCTCATTGAAAGGAAATAATAGCGTCCCTCCTCAACCAGCCCTGCATGGCTGCAAGCACAAAGAACTCCAATCATAGTTACATGGTCAGGTTTCTCTCCAGCTTCCAGCATTTCCTTGAACAAAACAAGAGCCTCTGCACCATGCCCATTTTGGGCATACCCGACTATCATAGCATTCCATGAAACCCAATCTCTTTCGACCATGTTCTTAAACACCAAGCTCCCATCTTCAACCGATCCACATTTCATGTACATATCAATAAGAGAGTTTCCCACGAAAATATCAGGCTCCGATCCGGTCTGAAACCTAAATCCATGCTTCAAGACATGGGTATGAGCCTGCCTCCCGAGCTTCAAAACAGCTAAATTTGCACAAGCATTGAGGAGATTCCCGAAGGTATAGTGTGTCGGCCAAACAGATTCCCTCTTTAAAAGACAAAAGAGTCCTAGCGCCTCTTCATTGTCCCTGTTCTGCGTATAACCTGCAATAAGTGCATTCCAAGATACTATATTTCTCTCTGTCATCTTGGCAAACATTAATCTTGCGGTTCTAACACTCGCTGCTTTTGCATAACCACTTACCATGGAGGTTTCAGACACCACATTTCTATTTGGCATACTGTCGAAAACCCGTCTGGCTTCATCAAGTCTACCGCATTTGGCATACATGTCAACCAATGCATTGCTTAAAACAAGATCATCTCTGAATTTCTCAAATTTAACAGCTCGGGCATGAATTTCCCTACCTTCTGTGATTGCCAACAAGCTTGCACACGCACTGACCACGCTGGCGAGGGAAACCTCATCGGGTTCAAATCCACATGCCTTCATTCTCACAAAAACATCAAGAGCTTCACTTGTTGGACCATTTTGCTCGTAACACGTAATCAAGCTATTCCATGACACTATGTTCCGCTCAGTCATCCCATCAAAAACTTTTCGAGCACAGGCCACACTCCCACATTTGGCATACATATCAATAAGTGCAGACCCCATAAATACATCAAATGAATACCGAGACTTTGCTACCGAAGCATGGATTTGGGTACCCATTTTTTGATCCCCCAACCCTGCACAAGCTCTAAGTGCACTTCCAAATGAGTATTCATTGAGCTCAAAATTCTCTTTATGCATCTGAACAAAAAACTCAAGTGATTCATCAAATCGATCATGCTGAGCAAAACCCGAAACCATTGAGTTCCATGAGCACTGATCAGGTTCAGGCATAGACCCAAAAACCCTTTTTGATTCATCAAGAAAACCCAATTTCGATAATGCTGTTAGAATCGAGTTCCAAGTGAATGCATTTCTATCAGGCATTTTATCAAACACCTTGCGCGCATCATCCAAACAATCACATTTTCCATACACATCTATCAGCCTGTTCTGGATGAAAATTTCTGAGGAAAATTGGGTTTTGATGATGCGAGCATGGATTCGACGAGTGTCTCGTGCCGATTTTGATCGGAGACAAGAGTCGAGTAGCTTGGCAAAGGGTGAGGAGGTGAGGAGAGAGAGGTCACCCACAACTTGCTTAAACAAACCATTCCTTGCCATTCCATAGTCTCTGGAGAAGAGAGTTTCATGGGTAAGTTTTGCTCAGATTATTGAACATTGAAATTGGAAGGTCATGAATACAGGCTATGAATTGTACGGAATCTTTTCGTTAAAACACCAATGCCATATTGCTCATTGGAAGGTCATGAATACAGGCTATGAATTGTACGGAATCTTTTCGTTAAAACACCAATGCCATATTGCTCATCAGTCACTCCCTTAATCTCTCTCCCTTCGCTCTTTTTTATTTTTATTCCGGGCAAATTACAAACACCTAGCTCGAGGTTCGGTGAAAATATAGATTTTTTTTTTGAAGTTTGAAAAATTACATTATATTTTTTGAAGTTTATATTTTTATAATAAATTGTTCCTGAGATTTTTATTTTTATACAGATTCCTCCTTCATTTCCCATAATTTATTATGAAAATTTAACCTTCATGGGGCAATTTGTAATTTCTCAAACCTCATGAGGGAATCTGTATTTTCATCCAATCTTGAGGAGGGTGTTTGTAATTTGCCCTTTCATTTATTGACATAATTGTTGAAAATCTGCATCAAATTGTACAACTTTATTCATTAATTGCGAATTAAATTTTAAAATTTAAAATTCATTTTGAAAATTATTCTGCTCCGTATAGTTATTATATATATATTTTTTAATATTTAATAAAATATAAAAATAAAAATAAGTGTGAGAGAGATATTTAAGATATAAAATTTGTAACAAATTAGTAGTTATATATATAAAACATATTATGTAAAATAAATTTGTGTTATATATATGAAAATATTATGCAAATTAGCATTATATATTATACAAATGTTTGATAATTGGTTAGAATATTTTTCAATCAACCAATTAGCCCAAAACAGTTCAAACCGCAATTTGCCAACCTGTCAATCCGCCATTCGGTTTGTAATTTTACTCTCAACCCCCTTGAACTCCACCACATAATAGGGTATAAGCCATTAGATTCAATGGACATTTTTTGTTGGTAAGAGGTGCATCATTTGTGAAATAGCTTGGTGTGAAATCTTTTCGTTGATTTTGGAGGATAATTTGTTTTCAATTTTACCCCTTAATTTATTTGTGGGATTTTTTTATCTATTGACTTTTCATTCACTATATGTTCAAATTTATATCTATCTGCTTAATTTTTTTCTATCTGTTCAAATTTTTTGTTTATCTGTTCAAATTTTTTACCTATCCGTTAGAAATTTTTATTATGTGTTGCATTTTTTAAACTTATTTGTTAAAATATTTTTTTATCTGTTGAATTTTTTTTAATCTATTTTTTTCTTATCTGTTTAATAAAGCAGTAACAAATCTTCAATTTTTCTCTCTCTATTTGTTGGTATCTCTCTCTCACTCTTCATCTCTTTTCTCTCTCTATCTGGTAAAATCTTTTTTCGAACAATTTTTTTTTTCAAATCAGATCAAACTAAGCAAAACCTAAATCAACATGATTTATTTATCCCCATACGTTTGGTTTTCAAATTGGACCATTTAGGAAAACCTAAATCAATAATTTTATTAAAGTAAATATATATAATAATATGTATTTAATTAGATATATATATATATATATATATTCATGTATGTGAAAGATATTGATGAGAAAATTGAGGCTCGAATTTGTGTTTGGATAAGAGAAGAGAAAGTATTCCTACCATGGCTACAACAACAATTGCCCCCTGAGAGAGAGCTTTCAGTGTTGCCCTGCCATTCAAATAGACAAAAATTCTCTATCATTTGAACGAACTAAAAAGAGAAATATTATCATCACAGCCTCTTATATGTATATATATAGCTATCTATCTATATCATCATTAGTAGCAGTAGTAATAGGATGTAAATTTGGCACAGCCCGGTCTATTCAGACTCAGGCTTGGGCCAACCAACAAGCCAAAACATTAGGCCCAAGCCTAGGAGATATTCGAGCTTTGGGCAGGTGGCAGGCGGGCCCGAGCCTAAACATTTTTTTTTATTTTTCCACCAAAATTTTATTCTTTTTCACTAAAAATGACATTGGACCTCGAGCGGGGCAGGCTCGGGCCAAGTTTCAAAATAATAGCACAGGCTCAAGGTCCTAAATTGAGCTCGGAACCAAGCCTAATCAGGCCCACCTAGGGCCGCCCACGAGTCGCAAGCCATATTTGTACCCCTACAAGTCAACGGCAGATCTGTCAAACTCATGGAACTCCAAACGACCATTGTTGTTTCCGCTACTCCAGTCGCAGTCGCAACCGCAACCGCAACCGCAACTCTTTCACTTACCAATAATCTTCACGTTAGAGGTGTCAACAACTCTACTTTGAACAGATTTGATGATATCTGAAGAGATTTGCCACTACCGGAGATGAAAAGCTCGGCTTGTGGCCGAAAACAGTTGCGGGTGAGGACATAGCTCCGGCGAAAAGCTAAGAGAAGTAGCGACAGTTAGAGTCCAAATCTCTTCCAGTCAACGGCGATTCAAGGGTGCCCAATTCGCCGGAGAAGTCAACAGAGTCCGACGGGAACCACCGCCATTGACTTAGGGTTTGTACAGGTAGAAAAAGAGAATGAAATGGATAGAGAGAGAGAGAAAAATAGATTTAAGATCTGTGAGAGGATTGAGAATGAGAGACTAGTGTATGATATATATATATATATATAGGGGTAATTTGGACACTTTAAACTAGCATGTCTTTATGGACAAAGTTTTTTTTTCTTCTGAATCTTTGAACTAAGAAAGTTTGATTTTGAATTTTTTAACTGAAAACCCTTATTTATTTTATTTTTTATAGTTAATTTGTGTAATTTATAAGTTTTTTAAGTCTAGATTGTCTATGAAAAAAATTAAATTGATTAAATAATACTAATTAAATAATTTTGTTACCAATATGATTTTAAAAATATATTCTCTATTTTTTATGACAAGTATAATAAAAGGAACAGATTACCTCCAATTCTATATCTCGATTAGAGGGTATTGTTTGAACATGTGAGGCCTACTATGGGTTCTGTTTCGATGATTGAAATCGTTCATTTTATATTTTCCATATACATCATCCATTAAAAAAATTAGGTTGCTCCAATACTCACAATTTATTTAATTTATTGTACTTTTTTTTAAATGAACAACAAGTGTATTTTTTTAAATAGTTTTTTTTTTTTTTTAACAATAGAAATCTCCATTAAGGTAAGCCCAATGACACTTACAGAGGAGTCCATCTAACAAAAAAACTTACATCAAATAAAGTAAAAATCAACAAATGAAGCACATAGAAGAAAATTATGAAAATATCAAGGCGCAAAGTCCGTACTGCGAAGCAGACACCAATCATAAGAGTTCAGTAATAGGTAAAGTCTAGGATAAAAACATAGATTACAACCACAAATATGGTAAGCTTTACAATCACCACCGATGGACTCCAAGCTACACTATCAAATAACTAACAAAACAAAAATATAGAACAAAGAAAGAAAAAAAAAAAGCAAAACCCTGTCCCAAGCCAAGGCAGTGGAATGGTGGCAGTAGATCTGGTGGTTGGAGGCCAAAAGAGGCAAATTTGGAGGTCGAGAAGTGGTAGATCTAGGCCATGGAGGTCGTGAAGTGGCAGATCTAGAGGTGCGGTGTCGATGGCCCCAAAGTGAGGTGGAAGAAGAAGGAGAAGACGATTTTGATGAAAGCGATAACTGGGTAAGGCGGAGCGATAGGGAAAAAGAGAGACAAGAGGAGATTCCACCATAAAGGGGAAGAAAATCTCACAATGAGGGAGAAGTTGGGAAAACAAGCTTCAAAGGATTATTGAACCAGAAAATAAAGGAGGAGAGAAGAAGCCAGTGGACAACGCTCCTCTCTTCCACCCAAAGCGGCACCCAAATCTTAGAAACCCTAGAAGAAAGGGATGTAGCGAGAAGCTCTCAAAGTCTAGTGAGAGAAAAAGAAATAGACTTCTTTATTTGTGACAAATGCAATAAAATAAAAATGTTACGATTGTCAAATTGACCTAATTGTTTTAGGAATAATATACACAAAGAGTCTTACAAAATGAATATCGAGACGAGACTCGTGGTTGGTTTCACAAGTCAGACAACAAGGATGAAACTAGGAGAAGATTATGAGAGGCCATGGCTTCTTTGTTTCTGTAAAAAAAATACTGTTTGTCATAGCACTTTAAAATTATATATATATGTATATCATTTTATACATAAAATAGCCCCCAGTATATACATATATATTTATCTTATTATTCTCCCATCTTGCCTTCTATTTCTATTTTGTACCAAAAAAACTTCTCCATCCTATTAAAGATTGCTTCTATGGTACTTAATTTTTTTCCTATGTATATATAATTTATATATCATATTGTATGTACATGTGTGTTTGTATATATGGTGAATTTTGTTTTCGGCCCATCCAGTAATGAAATCCTTATTTCCTCATATTGTCAGACAACACTCTCTGTCACGACACAAACTTGTCCCTATAGGTTTAGCGTCGTAACCGACCAATAATTTGAGATTACCAAAGGCCTTCCTGTACAAATCAAAATAATCGGGGCTAATGGAAGCTTAGTATAAAATTATATACAACAAGTAGTCCAATAAGTTGTGAGTCTATATGAAATAACATATGCATAAAACATTAATTTACCCACCATGTATTATGTGCATACCATCTTGTACAAAATCATTCATATACATATACACATATCAAAAACTCAACATCAATCACCAACTTGACAACGGTCTTCCAGACCTAACCTCAACTCGGTGGCACCAAAATCTCATGAGGGCTTCAGATGATAGCTCGACTAAAAGATTCCTTCTGGGCTTGCTCTTCATGTTGCTATATATATACATACACAGTGAGCTAAAGCCTAGTGAATAACATTAAAGTAAAGGGGTTAGTGAACGAATTCCAAATATATCATATTTGTAAAATGAATCAGAATAAAATCAGCCATATATCCGAACATAATAATGGTACATCCAACAGAACATATCATACTATCATCTAACTAGAGTAATCGGTCTCGGACACCGATTATCAAACATGACACCACTTGGTCAAGTGGCTAACGAGATCTCGTAATCACATATATGTCATGAACCCGCATTAACATGTTGTCTCCCATGACTTGGGACT